CTTCTCCCTCCCACACACACACACAGGATCTGGGAAACCACTAGAAAGCCATTAGTCTGGAAGTCCCCTCGTTGTATGTGAAGAAACCAAATGCTGGTGTATTTCATTTAAGAGACTCGCTCAAGGACAAGTATGCCGCAGACCGTGATTAGAAAGAACCACAAAAACCAAAAGCACATTGCCTTCCTGCAATCCCTTCTGAAAAGATTTGCTAGATTTTAATCATTGTTTCTAGTCTCTTCTGCGGAAAACCCACTTTGTACTGTATTTCTAATTTGTTTTGCTTTGTTGGCCACAGCGCACAGCTTGCGGGATTTTAGTTCCCCAACCAGGGAACTGAATCCCGGGCACACGGCAGTGAGAGCCCCAAGTCCTAACCACTGGACCACCAGGGGATTCCCTATTTCTGATTATTAACTCCTTTATTTTTCTGGCCACATTTTCAAGTGTGCAAAGTAAGAGAAAAGTATTACTGTCAGGTAAAGTCCTACGTGCAGAAAGTAAGGAGCTTTAGACAGCTCTGTGTTAGCCTGAAAATAAAAACCAGAAGCTACGTTTGTGAGCTCCACTTTGGAGCCTTGCACGTGCTCGCTTCCACTGCTGTCTCTTAGCACCAGTAGTTCTTATATGAATATACAGACCTTAAAAATGACCCTACTGACCCTTTGTCCAAATGAATATGTGCTTGGAGTCTTTTTCCAGTAGTGTGAGAGGTGGCGTTCACTGACTGGGTCTACTCCTGGCTGATCACGTGCTTTTTGAACAGCGTGGTTCCGTTTGTGTCGGGGCGGGGATGGGGCAGTTTGTAAAGGAGCATGTTCTGCCAGGTAGAGCTGAAACCAGCCCTCAGAAATCAAACCCAGAACCTTATTGTGTAACCTGTCCCCAGTTCTTCCACACTAAAAGCTGGCTTTCCTGTTGACACCAGTTTCACTCATTTGAAAAGAGTTCCAGCTTTGGGATTTTTCAGGCTTTAAACTGTGGTTCCTGCATATGGAAGTGGCTGCTTGTGATCCGCCCTGTTTTCCTAGAGGAGCCCAGAGACCTTAATAAGTGGGGTTATGTGGGGAGAAAGTGGGGGGACTGGCGATAGACACAGGATTTGAAGAGAAGGCGGGTGGTGAGGCCAAAAAAGTTTGATGACGTCATCTCTTCCCCCAATGCAAGCATCGTGCAGAATTAATATTTTATCTAATGTTATTTTACTGATACAGACCCATGGACTCTGTAGACTCAGAAACATTGACTAAAGGGTCACAAAGAACAAAGACATCTCCTCACCCCCCTCCCTCCTTTTCTTTTGCCTCTGCTTGCCTAAAATGTTTAATAAGACTTTGAAAAGACAGCATGGACTTTTTTGTATGTGGAGGGGGGTACACTGATGGCAGCAGAGTTTCCCAGACGTGAGTGCTGGAAATTAAGAGACTAGATGTTGAGAGAAACTCTAATCCCTAGTATCAGACCTTCAGATCCGAGGTGCTCATCTTTCGTGCCATGTTGCAACTCTCTCCAAGGAGTGCTCCCCGAAGGGAGGCCTTGCAGACATGGCCTTTAGAGCACTTGGCTTGTGTGTGAACAAAAATACATTCTTTGCTATTGAATCTGCTGTTCTGCACAGTCTCTTTGCACTTGACTTTCCAGTTGTCCACTTTGTATGGAAGAAATCCTGTGGCACAGGCCTGAGGCTTGGTTAATTTTTAGAATTTTTTTTGGTTACCTTGATTTTGATTTGCCTGATTTTCTGAAGTGCTTGATTTTACTAAGCCTGACTACAAAAGTGCTTTTACTACGTGGACTTTTGAGACCAAAAGGAGTAAAATTATATACTTCATATTAGACAAAAATTCTGTGACTTTGATCAAACAGTGGTTCCTTAAAGTATTTCCAGCTTGGTTACCAAAGTCTGAAACACACATATCTTGATCATTTAAAGTAGACTTCTAAGTTTTCTAATTAGGGAAAAGTCCCCAAAGCAAAATAATATATGTAATATTCTAGAAAATCTGGCCTAGTGGGCATTTACTATATCAGTCTTCAAGGAATTAGCCTTATCTGAAGCATTTTTTGTGTCTTAGGGTTTTTAGTGCTGCTGCAGTGATTAATAGGACCACTTGGGACTTACCAAACAAATCTAAGCTCACTCTAATTGTTAAATATTTTTAGAGGCAATTTATTTGGAAAGAATGACAAAGACATACGAAACTGTTTTCATAAATATTACTGAAAACTAAATCATATTAGAAAATGTTATACAAATTGAAATTTGAACAAATAATTTTTCATTTCCATTACCCAGAGGAAGCTGGGAATGTGGAAAATGGATGACTTGTTATTTATTTATTTATTTATTTTTATGAATTTATTTTTGGCTGTGTTGGGTCTTTTTTGCTGCGTGCAGGCTTTTCTCTAGTTTCGGCGAGCAGGGCCTACTCTTCGTTGCAGTGCGCGGGCTTCTCATTGTGGTGGCTTCTCTTGTTGCGGAGCACGGGCTCTAGGGCGTGCAGGCTTCAGTAGTTGTGGCGTGTGGGCTTCAGTAGTTGTGGCTCGTGGGCTCTAGAGCACAGGCTCAGTAGTTGTGGCACACAGGCTTAGTTGCTTCGCGGCATGTAGGATCTTCCAGGACCAGGGCTCGAACCCATGTCCCCTGCATTGGCAGGCGGATTCTTAACCGCTGCACGACCAGGGAAGCCCCATGACTTGTTTTTTAAAGGGCAACAAAATTAGGGCGGCTCTTTCTAGAATTTGAAAAATGTTAAAATCTAGATGCAGCCTATGAATGTCTGTTAGTATGGAGAAAATGAAGACCCAGGAAGATCTGGATCAGATTAATTTCAGTGGATTATGGGTAACAGTATATTTGACAAATCATGGTCTTTAACAACTTTGATATCAGTGACTAGCTTGGGCAAGTTATTTAACTTCTCTGACATTGAGCTCCTCCTTTGTAAAATGAAACTAAGAGTTTGGTGGTGAGGTGGCATTTACTCTGAATCAGGCACCTTCGTGTTACTGTAGGTAAGTGGTAAAAGTTAATTTCTGTATTCTAATGCCTTATTCCCCATTGCTTAATAGAATGCTTTTAAGGAATGGGCCTAGGTGAACAATTAGACAAGTACTGTTGCTGAATGCTGTGGAAAATCCTTAAACCTTTTGGGTGGTCTCATTACATATTTCGGAAAATTATTCTATATATGTGCTCTGTAAAAGCACTTTAAAGTCTCTTCGGAAATCCCTGACTCACAGGACAAAGTGAATCGCTGCAGTAGGGGAGTCTGCAAGCTAGTGAAGCAGCAGGGACCCTGTGATCGGGAAGAGTTTCCCCCATAACTGTTGTCTTTCCTCTTTAAACAGGTGGTTCCATCAAGGCCCTAATCCCTACAGCGGAGCCCAGGACTGGCTTTACTCGGGCAGCTACTGGGACAGAAACTACTTCAATTTGCCTGACATCTATTAAAACATAGACAAGTTGGGGCATTTGGCTAATCTACAGATAAGACTTAAACCTGTGTTTTAAAATTTTCTTCTTTGATTTCTACTCATCTTTTGAAAAGAGAAAAAAATCCTCCCATGATAACTTGCATTTCACCCAACAAAAGTAGGGCATAAGGTGGATACTGGTGATGAAAGTCTTTGGAAGAATGGGTAATTTTGCTATCCCGACACGCTTATTTGGAATACTGTTTTATCTAGAGGTATGGGAAACTGTTGGAGAATATGCTTTTTGATGGTTGCTGTTGCCGTATTCACTGAAGGCTTATACCTAAATGTAACTTTAGCTTTATGGAATTATATAGTAACCCAAATCAAGTTATTTTGAATATTTTTAGGCTGTCATGCTTGAATGTTTTAGATTTAACTTCGAAATGTTTAGAATTCTCCTATATGATGTTTATATGCTCAGATATAGAGGTTATGCCATCTTGTAAAGACTGCATTGAGAAGACGGCTTTTCTTCTTACTAATCCTCTCAAGTTTACCCCTTCCCACCTCTCAAAAGAAAAACGATGCCTGAGTATTCAGAAGAGAGATTCCTGATTTGAAAATTCTAAACTGGAAAAGGTATTTCGTTTGCTTATTTTAGTGCTCTGATTTTACTTTTACAATGTTCTAATGTCGTTAGAATTAAAATGTTTGAGTTGTACATGTTTGAATTGAAAATAGGTATAAAACCTAGCAATTCACAAAAATACCCCAGAAATATAGATTTTAGTCACCATCATTACATAATGAGAAACCTTTTTAAATGCTTCAACTCCCAGTGGCAAATGCCACCAGAGAAATTCAGTTGTACTCATGTATTATAAGTATCAGACTATATAAAAGGAGGTCTTGTGCATTTCAAGTTTGCAAGGCACCTGTGTACTTAAGATACGTGTGGAGACCTACTTGTACAGTAGCTTTGCCCCTTTAATTGGGGTACATTAATCTTACGGTATTTATCTACCCAACCCCAGACTGAGATATTGCTCCAGGGGGCCTTAGGTAGCTGCCAGTAAGTTATTTTAATGGCTGTCTTGAAGTTAACAAGTGTTACAATGAAATAATCTACCTGATGCTAAATAAAGGCTTTAGAATGTTCAAAACAGTGTGGTCTCTTTTAAACTTTGAAATATTCTAATGCTGCACTTAATAGGATGCCAAATTGTCAGGTGTCCTTACACGAAAGTAAGTCCTTGTGCTGCCACGGTCCCCAGGGCCAGAGCTCACCCCCGGGCTCACGTGCTAAGTAGGCAGTTAGCACTCACTGTTCTCTGGGTAAATACAGTATTTATTAGAGCAAGGTGCCACTGTCTTCACTTGGTGTGAATGCCAAATACAGAATTATTAAGTGGAATACCTTGGTAGAAAATTGCTAGAGTGGAAAGTTTTTTTTTTTTTACAATGTATATGAGCATTGGAAAATGCTATTGTGTCATATCACAAGTCTGAAAATATTTAGGACCTGTTGTGTTTAGATGTTTGTACACCGCCTAAATTATAAAATAAGCAAGGCGACAAGGTTTTATGCTTGCATGAAGTTTATTGATATATTACGCTCGGTGGCAGACTCCACCGTGAAGGTCAGCTCAAACAGTGTCATCTTCGGCACCTGTTAGGAATAATGTAAATAGTGACTTGTTTAATCATAAAACTGAACATGTAAAACGAGTGGATGATCAGAAATGCAAGTTCTAGCCTGCTCTCCTGCTAAGCTCTTAATTATGTTATCTGTGCATGTGCACTAAAATATCCTAGCACCTCATGCCCAAAACGGCCATTTTGACAGTTCCACTAGAAGTCTAAAGGGTGGGAGTAGGTAAATGCTCATAGTCCTAAGATATTTGCAAAAGTCTCCTTAAGTATGGTAACTAACTGTGGTACTTGAACCTGCCTAAAACTGAAATCTAGCTTTTGTCCGTCAGACGTGTGGTAGTAAGTACTGGTCGAATAAAAATTTTTTAATGATTTGTGAGTGATAAAAACTTATCTGTGGTTAACACCACTTGTCCCTTTAGCTCATCAATGTGTTTCCAACCTATCCATTCTGCTGTAAGTATTCACTGACTTACCGCACTGACTGGGTGCTCCGTATATAATCTCTCACCTTGTCCTCCCCGCCCCTTAAACCTGCCAACTAGATTATAAAATTCCCACATGAGACTGTCTTGTCTTTATGTTAATCCATCCCTTTGGCATCGTCTGCAGGGCTAAACACAGCGCCAGGTATTCAGAGGTAGCTGAGTTGGTTGCTTGGTTATGTGTTTTAGGCACCAGACCCTTGGTGTGCGTCACTGCGGCGCAGTGCGCCTGCCGTGCGCTGAGTAGTAACGTGGTAGGGAGGTGGGGGCAATCACCACGTCGGATCCGAGCGCACCCCCCGCTCACTGCGTGTCTCAATTCAGTGTCTTAAAATACCTCAGTCTCTAGGTCAACAGATCAACCTGCTTGAAAACTCAAGTGTGTTAAGGCCCCCATATCATGGGAAGAGAATTTACCTGCCAGTTTCAAGTTTCTGCTCTGCGAACATTGGCAGTTGTCACAGTTATTTCTCCAGCGATACCGTAACTTCCACAGGGAGTACCTTTGTCACCAAATCCTGAACGTTTTTTGGCTACATCTTCTACCGGGAAAGCAACAGAAAGAAAAACTGGACTTTGTGGTCTGGGGACATCTTGTCCACTTGTAGGAGGATTAGCATTCTGGGGATTGGGGGTGTGTTTCTGGAATTTCTGATCTGCAGGAACAGCAATGGGGACTTGCACTGCAGTGTATCTCTTCAAGGCATCTGACTGGGGAACAGGCTTCCAGTCCTGTGCTTCCTGAACATTTGAGCCCACTAAAATGAAAGGCGGGGCACTGGTCGTCTTGCTGTCCATCATCCCGGAAGTTGGAGAAGCAACTTTTGGTGGGTGCTGCAGAAACTGTGGCTCCTTAGAATTAGGTAAATAGAGGGTTGCTTGGGGGAAAGGCCCAGGTGCAGGTGGTGGTGACGGGCGACTTTGTTGACTCATGTCAGTTAGACAATAAAGGGTCCACATGTTAGAATATGGTGGTGGTTGTCCTGCTTCGCTTGCTGCTATTGCTATAAAAAAAAACATGTGCAGGTGTTAAAGATTTGGTCTCTGTATCAGGCGCTATGCACAGAAGTGTTTTTTTACATATAAACAGCTGTAGTAATATGTGCCATAAAGCATGCTATAGAGAGTGCTAAATAAATTGTGTTTGGTAATGTGAAAGGAGAGATTCTCTACAGTCAGAAAACGAGAACAGTGTTGTGATAGCCAGCGGCACGGACACTAGGGTTGTGGCTGAGAAGCAATCTCATTCTAAGTTGCTGTTTCTAGGAACTTAACTTTAGACATGGCTTCTGCAGGGTCCTCAGAGGAAATGGAGAATCAACAATTCTGGCTCTACCAAAAAAATCAACTGAAGAGTGTGTTAAGCCATTGAAAAAAGCATTAAAAAAAGCACTGATGTGTCTGCATAGTGATTGATGGTTCTCTTTACGGAAGAAGTCAGCACTACGTGTCATCTTTTGATCACATGATCAAGGACCTCTGGCCCTTTGCAGGCGGCATCGTCTCCCATCAGCTTGTCACTACACACGAAACATCACCTAACCTAGGACTCGGAACCTGAGAGCACGGCTCCCTCTTCGGCAAGGCTTGAAATCATAGGTCCTGGGTGGCAGTAGAAGGCTGGTTGGTCGCACAGTGGATCTTTAAGTAAAAAGAGGTCTCGGGGGGCCATCCGTCTACTTACACCAAGGCATCTACCATGTCAAGTTAGACTTGCCTAATTGAAGACAGTGCCGTCTTGGAGAACGAGTCCCAGAAGGTTCCTGATGGAGGAGCTGCACTTGGCCCAGCTGTGCTGAGTCACCCTCTGAACACGGCCCGTATCCCTAGTGCAGCTTTGTTTTCTTCCCCAGAAAAGAAAATAACACTATGCACACAATTAAGCTGTGTTTTCAATAGCTTCAGATGCTTTCAGCTGATAGTTCTGGAAGCTAATTAAAAATATGCACGAGCCCAGTCTTCAGGCTTTTGTGAAATACCCTTAGTGCTTTGGAAATAGTGAAGCACTTGAGAACAGTAACTTGGGATGGAAGTGCTGCTTAGACCACAAGTGTAATGCCAGCCCCACCGACTACGTTCCAACACTGCCCTCTGCCTTTTCAGCTGCGCAGAATCCCTGTCACACTGCCAGACAGAATTTGATCTCTAAACACCTGCTGTGGTAACACTTTTTTATCATTCTGGCTCTGGTAAGAGTCAGGGGTGAGAGAGTTTCTGCAAAAGGAATGGTGGGGTTGGCTCCTGCACGTCCCACCTCCCTAAACGGATAAGGGCCGCTGCACTTGCCTAGATGGAGTGGGAGGGTGAGCAGACCAAATGCCGTAATTAGATCGAGATGGGAGGTCAAACCGTGTCTGTGTCACAGGAAAGCGGTAGTGATAGTTGAGCAGCCAGAAAGCAGCCTGGTGTGGGCGCCTGTCGGGGAGCCGACGAAGGAGCCGGCCGGCTTCGCCGCGCCCATCCTTGCGCTGCTGCTACCTTCCCGCTCCCCTGGGTGACAGAACTTCAGCTTGACCTTTCCTCTCGCCATCCAGCTATGAAGCCGCTCCCTCAGCTGCGGGAAGCTCCCAGGCGGGACGTCAGGGCTTGACCAGCCCCCAGACCAGGTTGCAGAGTTCTCCCGCCTCAGCGCAAAAGCAGTCAAACGCACCACCATTTCTTTCATGTTTTTAATGCCGTCGCCTGTGTAAATACTTTGTTGTCATCTGATTTTACTTTTACAGGTGAGGGATTTCAAACCAACACCCCTTAGTTACGGTTTTGCAGGAGTATCCAGATCACGTGAACGTGTTTTGCAGCTGACAACAGGCGCTACCATTTTTCACCACACAGTATGTCCAAAACAACACGAAAGTGCTAGATGACCGAACTTTGAGGCCAAGCAGTGGTGATGTTGCTTTAAAATCACTCATCTCGTAAGAGTAAAATCTCAGATACAACAAAGTCTTTAAATAGGTTTGGCATTTTAACTACTACTAAAAACAAAGCTTTTTGACCAGTCTGCAGGGAGCCTACCTCGATGGTCACCTGAAATATAGATGTCACTGGAAGCACCGTTTTTAGTTTTGTAAGTAATTATCTTACCTGGCTCCGTCAAACCTTGTTTAGGTGCTACTTCTCATTCTGGTTCGATTTCTGGTTCATTAAGACCTGGAACAGGAGGTTGGGGGCCACTAGATGATCTTACGGACGCACCTGAGCGCACTACTTGTGCGGCTTCCCCTGAGAGCGCGGGTTTGACCTCCGTCTCCTGGGACGCACGGTTTTCCCATGAGTCCTCCTGCCCAGCACTGCCAGGGGCGAGCGCAAAGATGTCCACTTCAATGTGCACAGATATTTCAGAGCTCACTGTTGTGGCAGAGCCGTCTGCCTCCACATGTACTGAGGAGTCATATTTTGCACTCTCCAACTGCACAAAGTTTGCAGAACCCACAGATTTTTCAGACCCGTGTGAGGCTGTCTCGCCTACTACAAGTATGGGACTAAGGGGTGGTGACTGCTCATTTCCTTTAAGACAAGCAACATGATCAGAAAAGGGGATAACCGTTTGTTCCAGTATTTGCTCAACATTAGTAGCTCCTTCGATCACAGGCTCATCTTTATCGATAGATGCTATGTGCGTGGTGGATGTCACCTCAATAGCAGCCTGCAAAGGGACCTGAGGAGCTTGACTGTAAGCAGGAGGTTCTTGTTCATCCTGCAAGGGGAATGAGGAAGCCATTGGTGGTTCAGCCTTATGGTGTTTAGGTTTAGGACCCAAATCTACATGGACAGATGTCTCGCTCAGAACCTGCACTGCTGCCATCTCTCCAGAATGCACAGGAGTGGCCACCACATCATCTTCAGCAGCCTCTGAGCTCAGCATCTCCTCGGGAAAAACGGGCATACTTGTTGCCACGTCCACCACTAAAATTTCAGAGTGATCCGAATGAACCGGAGAAACATTACCTAACATCTGAACAGCAAACTGAGCTGGGTCAGCAGGGACATAGGCCAGCTCGGGTGAGACAGCTGCTGGCGACGGCGGTGAGGCCGGGGTGGCATTCTCAGGGGCGGTCGGTTTCGAAGGAGCACGAGCTGCTTCAGGGGCGCCCTCAGGCTCTGAGAACAGCTCAGCATGAACCGACGGGAACTGCGTGGTTTTGTTGCTAAACTGCGGTGCAGTTATGTTGTCCTCCTCTGTGTCCGTAGATTTTTCCATCCGTTTAGGTTCTTGGGAAACTGTAGATGTTCTTTCTGGCTCTTTCACACATTCTGGTTTCTTCTCTTGTGCCATTCCTTCTGACCACTTCTCCCCTAAAAAAATGAGTTAGATGGGTTAATAAGTACTTATTCCCCAAAAAAGGAATTATGAAGAAAGCATAGGTTGAGCATTCAAATGTCAATATATACGCAAGTACAAAAGAGTTTTGCTTTAGTTTCCAACATCGGTAACTTCACTGTGGGCAACAAAACCTTCCTGTCCTTATCCACTCAAAAGACAACTCGGTTCAGTTCCTTAGAAATAAGTGACTCTAACACTCAGATACCACCTTCAGCTGGTCAGCGTCAGGGGAAAGATGATAACTGCCTAAAAGTAAGCTGAAAACGTCCATGGACAAAGCTCCTGATCCAGACTTCCACACAAAACTGGGGAAAGAAAAAAACACTTCATAGCTTAGTAATGAAACAAATGCTGTCATATGATTAAAGGCATTCTTCAGTTTAAGAAAATTGGTATATAAAGTTCAACTTAATGAATTGGAAAACTAGGGGACTATAGAATACGTTTACATTAGGAAACGTCATGTTTTCTATTCTAAAAGTGGTAGCACCTGCTGGTAAGGTGTGATAATGCAGCCGAAGTACTGACCCAGAAGAGCAGCAGATAGACAGCTCTGGTTCCAGAAGTAGGGCTCAGTGGATCCTCAGGCAGGAGGAAAAAAACCATGGCTTAGAAGGTCAAGACAACTGATGACACACAGAAACCCCTAGAGCTAGAAAACTGCTGTAACATCATCTTCTGCACTCAGCGTTCTGCTTGTCACTCACACGTCTAACCTCATCAGACGTTTTCACATCTGCTTACTTTACTGAGGATTCTCTCTTTGGGGAAGCATTTACCTAATATCATGAAATCTGCAGGAAGAGGAGAATTTGCCTTACAAGAACATACTTGCTTCAAGTCAAAACTTTGGAAACGTGTCTTCATGGGTCCAGCTCTTTTCCAAAGAACAGTGTCCTCCAGGGTCTCCTCCTACATTAGCGGCTGATTTTCTGTAAACTCGGATCAGGTGTCTAATTCTGGACGTGGATACCACACAAACGCTCACATGCTAAGAAAAGTTACATAAAGACAGAAAAGCCACATCTACTCTTACCTCCCTCTGCTTCTAGAACAATGACCTCATTTTCTAACCAGCCACCTCCTCAGGACTTCCCCACCCATTTCCAGTCAAAGCCCTTTACCCACTAATACACTTGACTGTTTGTGCTGTGTGTAAAATACTGTACACTAGGCATTGTTGAGGATGGAAAAATTATTAGGACAAGACCTCATAAAGCTTAGGGGAAATAAGATATACAGATATTACAGGTTAAAAGTGTAAGTACTTAACAAGGGTACCATTTAAGACCTATGGAAGCTCAGAGGAGGAAAAGATATCCTCCGGCTGGAGGAATAAGGGAAATTTTGTTTAAATAAGCCTGGCCTTACGCTTAAGATAACGCTGCACAAACTGTCTGCCCATCACAATGAGGAAAAGCCAGATAAATGTCAAAATGGTAACTATGCGCCCATCAGAGAGCAGAGTCACAAGGCAGTCAAGTAATCTGATTTCCAAAGAGTAACCAGCCCTTCCAAGGAGAGAAGGGCCACAGAACTCCCTCATCTGTGGCAGGGCCTGGAAACGTCACCACCATACCAGCTGGTAAGGTATCAGCCAAAATCTTAATGAACTGATGAAAGCCAAATGTGGGCTAAGATGTCTGTCTGGAATAGTCTGGGACTCCAGACACAAGAAGTTCACACTCACAGGCACTTTTGTGGAAGATGGAAGCAGGGTAGAAGGCCAGAGGGGAATCCTATATCAACAGCAAACAGAGGGCTCCTTCCTACCCCTGGGGCAGAGGCAGGAAACACTAGCTCAAGACTGACCACAGATACGAGGCAGAGATTGCAGCGGACAACTGACAGGAACACTGAGAAAGCCCCATCCTCAATGCCTGGTGCAAAGACCACCTAGGTCAGAGAATCCCTGCCCCGAGAGCCCAGGACCAGCAACGAGGAACAGCAGCTGCCCCTGGAGGGAGGGGCAAGAGTGTGGGGAGAGATGCCCTCAGTGGGGCCGGCTGGCAGGGAAGGCCGAGGGCAAGGTCAGGCAGCCCACCGCTAAAGGAATTTGAGGCCCGTGGAACAGTGAAGGTAGGAGAGCCACCACGAAGCCCAAGCCCAACTTCTCACTAGACTCACCTAGACACCTACACAGCAGTTCAAGGCCTCTACAACACTCTTTTCCCCCACAAGGACCTAAATTCCCCAAGTAATGATTTATTTCCCCTGAGAGTTTTCAAGAACCCAACCAATTTAGGGACTAGATCACTGCAATCCCTAGATTGCCTGCATGGGACTCATGTGATACATCACTTACACGATAGGAATTCAGCTTCTGTGGAAAGGGACACTTGCCCTTTTCAAAGTATCTCACAGGCTTGTCGTACCTGGAATCATATCTAGGAGCTTAATCTTTAGGTTTAGTATTTTTGCCTCTAGAAGTCCCCTATTAAATAACCATTCTGGAAAGGTAAAGCATTATATAATTATGAATCATAACTCATCAGAGAATTTATGATATTGCTTCCTTCCCCACAACTTTTTCATAGTAAAAAGGTGTATGAGAAGATCTGGGTTCAGTCCTGACTGTGGTTGAATAGATGCATGGCCAAGTCAACGGTTCTGAGCTTCAACCTCCTGGTGTGCAAACTGGGGATTTTAATTCTGACCTCACTGAGGTTTTGTAGAGATTAAATGGAGTCATTCACCTAAAAGTGTTCTATAAACTGTAAATCACATATAAATGGGGAAAGAATAAATCAACACCTAGTTTAAAAAGTTTAGAAATGTGATATCAAATTAAAAATTATAAGCCTCACATCTTTAAATCAGCTTTGATGAAAATTAATTGGCAATTTCATAATCTGGATGATAAAATGCAGGGTGTTTTTTCCCATTTATAATATATGTATTTGTATATATACATACATACATATATGTCATATATACTATTTTTAATAGATATATTTCATCACTGTAACATTAAATTGAGATCAAATACCTTAAGCTTTAACAGTGTTTTTGAAAATGTAAAGCACTAGATGAACCATTTGGTTTTGTTTAGAATACATGACAGAATGTTAGCAAACATACACAAACAAGTTATCACATAATTATATTGCGTTCCTGTTGATATCTATTATTACAAAAGGTAAAGAGCTTTTCTCTAATGTTTTAAGGTCTGTTTAACAGTTCCAAAGATTGCTGACTTGTAACATTGAGATTATGTTTGTGTAGAAAACTATTTCTTAAAGTTGTAAACTAGGTTTGCTATAGGTTGATCTTACATGTCAACCTCATGAAGATGAACTCAGTATGACGTCAGTAATCTGGTTTCACTTGAACTACAAAAAACAAAAAACTGCATGAACTCTCAGAATTACATACATCACTGAAGGCACTTCTTCCTCTAAAACATTTCTTTCTAAGTTTAATAAATGACTGATTAAAACTCACGGTAGAATCCTGATTTTCCATGAAACCAATCAGATAGATACATTCCAAGCATACAGTATTTCTTGGAATAGGCAGAACTCACGTGGAGACTTGGGGTGCTTGGGGCATGATCAGGGAAGAATAAGGAAAAAGGCATGTTCTGGCACTGAAGGGAAATCTGAAAGCTGTCCCAGACAAGAGGAGAATATGAAGCAGGACAGAATAGGAGATGGGAGAAGTGATTAATAGGAGAGGGGAGAGGAGAGGACTGCAGGAGGGGAACTCACAGGAGTGCTTGGACTCAAGAATTTGAAGTAGTAAGGTACATATAGTTTTAAAAGTTTAAAAGAGAAAAAGATTCCAACTACTGTGTGTTGAACTGATTGGAATGATGAACACCAGTGACTATAAAGTAGGTGGTCTGTTTCTTTTCTCTCCTTCCTCTCTTCTCTTCCTTATATTCATTCTTTAGTCACCAATCCTTAATTCCTATTATGGGATAGACACTGGGGAATCTCCTAAATAGTACAGTCTGATTAAGGTTAGAGGCACATAAACAGATGACAATGTGATCAGTGCAGTGACTGAAATATGTATTGGATACAGTGGCTTTTAGGTAATTTTTGTTAAGCTTAAATGAGAAGGGGCAGGTGTGCCCCTTCTCTGCACAATTGTGCCCCTTCTCTGCACAATTGCCCCATCCAAGATGCCAAAGAGCCCCTGCAGAGTACAGGTGTAAACCAGCCCTGTGCATTCTGATTTCCCTTATCAGAAAATTTATCAGTCTCCCTTGGCCAATGGGACAGAAGTGGAAGTCTGCTAGACTTTTTAGATTTTACTTTTTTAATGAAAGAAAAAAGTATCATTTATGCCACCACTTCCTCCTCCTTCCTGATTTATACATGGATATAATGCCTAGAGCAGTGGCATGAGGCTACAAACAAAATATGCTAAGAATGATAAAGCAGAGAACCTAGATAATTGATGCTTTATTATTATAATATCAGCAGCAGAATGAACAGCACTTCCAGATATCTTGTTTTTCACTGCTAATTGGTTTTCTGTTACTTGCAGCTGAGTACTTTCCTAATATGAGGCATAAGTTAGAAGTTGTAAAGCAGGGACTTCCCTGGTGCTGCAGTGGATAAGACTCCACCTGCCAGTGCAGGGCACACGGGTTCGATCCCTCATCAGGGAAGATCCCATATGCCGCGGAGCAGCTAAGCTTGTGTGCCACAACTACTGAGCCTGTGCTCTAGAGCCTGCAAGCCACAACTACTGAAGCCCGTGTGCCTAGAGCCCGTGCTCTGCAACAAGAGAAGCCACCGCAAGGAGAAGCCTGTGCACTGCAGCAAAGAATAGCCCCTGCTCGCTGCAACTAGAGAAAGCCCACGTACAGCAACGAAGAACCAACACAGCCAAAACTAAATAAAAAATTAAATCTTGAAAAAAGAAAAGGGCTTCCCTGGTGGCACAGTGGTTGAGGGTCTGCCTGCCGATGCAGGGGACATGAGTTCGTGCCCCAGTCCAGGAGGATCCCACGTGCCGCCGAGCGGCTGGGCCCATGAGCCATGGCCGCTGAGCCTGCACGTCCGGAGCCTGTGCTCCGCGACGGGAGAGGCCACAACAGTGAGAGGCCCACATACCGCAAAAAAAAAAAGTTGTAAAGCAACGTGAATGAGGGGGATTGTGGTATATGCTGCTTTTTAGATACCATGTCTGTTTTTATTCTATGAATTATGTATCCATTTTAATATCCATTTTCTCATTGGGTATTTAAATATGTTATCTTAAGATTTATCAAGGTGATCCGTTTGGATTTTCTATATCATGTCATCTGTGAATAAAGTACTTTTACTTCTTCCTTTCCAATATGTATACCTTTCCCCCCGCCCCCACCTTATTGCACTGACTAGAACCTACAGCACAGTGTTGAACAGAAATGGTGATGTCAGACATATCTATTCTGGTTCTAATCTTGATGGGAGAGTACTCAAAATTCACCATTTAGTATAACGTTAGCTGTAAGTTTTTATGCATACACGTTATCAGATTTAGGAAGTTCCCTTTTTATTTCTTGTTTACCTATAAACTTCTTTAGAAGTATTTCTTGTAGAGCAGGTCTGATGGCAGTGGATTCTCTCAGCTTTTGTCTGCCTGAGAATCTCTTTATTTTGCTTTCATTTTTAAAGGATATATTCACTGGATATATATTCATTCTAGGTTGGCAGCTTTTTGCTTTTAGCACTGTAGAGATGTCATTCCATTGTCTTTTGGCTTCTGTAGTTTGTTAAGAAATCTGCTGTTTGTCTGATTATTCCCCAGAAAGTAATGTGCCTTTTTGCCCTGCCTGTTTTCATGATTTTGTCTTTTTCAGCAGTTTGACCATGATATACTGAAGCATGGATTTCTTTGTTTTTATACTGCTGTGGGTTTACCAAACTTTTTGAATCTGTAGGTTGATGTCTTTCAATCAAATAATATTTTTCCATCTACTCTTTTCTCCTGACTCCAATTACATATTAGACCCTTTGATCATGTCTCACAAATGTGTCTTACACTCTTACTGTTTTTCTTCTTACTTCAATTTGGGTATTTTCTATTGCCATGGTTTTTTAGTTTCTAATTCTGTTTTCTGCTAGTAAAGCCATCTAATAAAAATTTAGTTTGCAATTGTGAAATAACCATTTGTTTCTTATTTTAAGATTCTTACTCTGTTGAAGTTCTCCATCTTATGTAGTCCTTATGTAGTAATTCTAATATTTGGATCTTCTTTGGGTCTGCTTCTACAGAGTGTTTTATGTTTTAGTTCTTAATTATTAGTCACTTCCTCCCACTTCTCTGAATGAATGGTAGTTTTTAATTGTATGCTGGAAATTGTAAATGACACATTGTAGAGACTCTGACTATATTGTTTTCTTCTAAATGGTGTTGGTCTTATTCTAATAATGGCAAATCTGATCCTCCTGAGACTTCATTTTACATTTTGTTAAAATAGACACATTTCAGCTTTGTTCTTACTCCTAGCAGATTGTCTTTATTCCTAGGGTGTGACCTTCCTGGGGTCTCAACTGGATTGCCAGGGTTTCAGAAAAGTCTCTTCATTTTGGCTGGGCCCAAACTCCAAAGCCTCCCCCAACACTGTACCACTTCTGAAATCCCTACCTAGCTTTCCGTCTTCCAACAGCTCTTCTCTGCTAAGCCTTCACAAGCCTTACAGTCCACACATGAGCAGCTTAGGAATTGCCCCCCCACAAAAAAAAAGGAAATATTTTTGCAGACTTTTGGGGAATCCGTCTCTGCAAATGCCTCCTCTCTGGTGCTTTGTCACCCAAATCCCAGCGACATTAGTAGCTCCAAACTCTGCTTCTCTGTTCTCTCTTCCTGAAGAGACTTCCAATCTCTGCTTGGCCTCTATTTTCCTGCCCATGAATTTGAAAAATGACACTGGGGTGAATATGGGCCTCAATTTCTGTGAACCCCATTTCCCAAGAATCCAGACTTTGTTTTATATAATTTCTTCAGCTTTTATGGGTATTTATGATAGGAAGGTAAGTCCAATATTAGCTACTTCATCATAGCTGAAACTGAAACCTCTCAATTCCTCCTAGCACAGTATCTGGCAATGGATAGGAATTTAAATATTTGTTAAATGAAATACTCAATTGGACTTTAAGGATATATAGGATTTGAAAGAAATGGGAGGGAAAGGAACTCCTGGAGGGAGTTAGCATAAGCCAAAATCAAATGATCAAAATCAAAATTACTTTTTCAAAAAGTGACAAGTTGTCAGTCTGGTGCATAAGGTCTGTGAAGATATGAAATAAGAGATAATTGCAAAGGTAGGATAGATTTAGCTCATAGAAAGCTTTGCATGCCATGGTCTTATAAAGGGATCAAAATTTACCTACTATAACTTAGACATGCCAGAAAGCATTACTTTACTTTCTCTAGCTGATCTCAAATTGCATTAAAATGCTTACTTCCCAAAGGCAAAATTTATTTGATCTTACTTAAAAATATTTGTCCCTACCAGTTTAAAAGTCGCTTTGGGTTTATTATTCAGTCCTTTTGGGTATTGTTTTCAAAGGTTCTCCCCACTTCTGAAGAGGGAATCTGAGTGCTGTGGTGAGCTCTGGCTCTGATCCACATGTTGTCCTTCTCTGCTGGCTCTCAATTACCTCTGGTAGAGGCATAACTCATACTGCCTGTGTTCTGGGTGCTAGTCTCTGACTTCACTGTATTTACTACTCAAGTTTCTACTTTGTGAAAGGTGTGGCCTGTGTGCTTATTTCACTGAAGGACTGAGAGATTCCCTTCCTAATTTGGTCCTTTAGCAATTAAGGCCTAGCTGAAAGTTTATTTTATTCCCAGCTTCAACATTTTGCACTTAGCTCTCTATTAGTGGGTTGAGTCACTTCACTTTTCCCATCTGGATTACTTGCTGGTCAGCACTCTGGGACAATCTAAACACATCTGGATCCACTAAAAGCCACACACAGGCCATAGGACACAAGAAATATTATCTCAGTCTCATCTGAGAAACACTCTCCATTATTTCTAATCCATTGCTTCAAATGTAATTATTTTCTTCAACCAGTATTTACTGAATGTCTGATCATGACAGATACAGTGCAGGAGCTGAATGTAGCAGGTGATGTGCTAAAGGCAGTACCATGCTAACCACTCAGCTTCTGAGAAGCATGCATTCTTCTAGACAGCACCCAGGAATGCAGAGAACAAGCCACGTGCTTGATGAGTCTTAGGGAATTCTGATCATAAATTCCACCTACCTTCCTTATCACCAGTTTCAATGTCACCTAGCACTTTTCATGCACTACCCACGCCCCAGCACCACAATCCCATTGTCAAGAAGGACTTTCCATTTCCCTTTCCTGTGTAGCAGGAAATGGCCTTATATCTTATCTTTTTTCCTCCCTCCTCTATGGCTTATATAAAGTAAAAACTTGATTCTGGTCATGTTAAGTCTTAAATCAAAACTCAGCTTTGGAAATTCCAAGAAAAAACAGGCTCCTGCAAAACTCTAAAGTGTTAGCTTTTTTATTACGAACTTTGGAAACTCAATACTGAGTAATGACTTCCTTGCTCCAGACTATATTTACCTTTTCCCTACAGTAAATTAATGCTTCAATGGGTAGAGATCAGCAGAGCAAACAGGAAAAAAATAGAGGTCATCTGAAATCAAGAGTATAGTAATTTACTATTTTTTAGAAGTACCCCTACAACACTGAGGAGTCTGGAACAGTATGGAGCTATCAGAGTTTCTGGATAGCAGAGTCAGATACTTAAGGAGGAAGGTGTCCTTCCTTCATGTAACTGACATCTACTTGTGGCTCCTGACCTCACCTTGGCAGCCTGGTTTACCATCCTAGCTTTCCTGGTTTTACTTATCTGCTTCTTCCCCGGCCCCCTCCTCTCTTAATCCTGACCCTGTGTTTCTGTCCGTAGTCTGACAATCTGACCCCAGTTCTTGACTATACCATTTGCTCAGTGATTTATTTGCGATCTTTAGTATGGACAACTCCCCCAAGTGATTAATCTTACCACATCATTAAAGCACGAAGGACCTAAGCCCCACTCCCGACAATGTCGCCAGATAATCACTGCAACTTTTTTTTTAAGTAAAAAAAAAAAAAAAAGTGAAAATTCTTAACGTTGGTACAAATTACCACCCTGCCAAGGCAAACACAAGACTTGCAGAAATAAGAGGGTCCTTCTGACACAATACTCATCCCTGTTTAGGGAATCAGTATAGCCTTACTTGAAAAAAATGCCCAGGAAAGTACAGAGTACACCAGAGCCTCGTAAAATTTAGTATGGATAGTCCTGAAATCGATTTCTTGTTTTTTTAATGAGTGGATAGCTACAAGTATGTGTAATGAATTCTATAAGGCATAAAAATAGAATTTGGCATAAGAAACTGAAAACATATATTATGACTATCTAATATGAATATATAACTCAAGATAATATTTAATGATATGCATAACTGTTACGGTGCTACATAAGAATTGAAACTGGGCTCAGTGATGAGCAGCAGTTTGTGACTCTAATTACTACTCTATGGCCATGCCAAGAACGTCGAGGGTCAGTTAGAAAAGTTAACAGGTAACTCAGTTGGGGATCTAGGTGGGCTAGGCCTTCTTGATTCTTCAAAAGAGGTGGCTATTTCCTGCCTCTGTTGGAAGTCAAG